AGGTTTTGTGTTATGATCTCAGTTGATTGAGTGTCCAAGATTTGCTTCTTTGGTTCTCAATTCCTCTTTGGAAAATCCACTCAGGCACCCCCACCACCCACACACGGTCTTCTAAAACAAGCACTGTCATTCATGAAAGTCATTATAAAAAGAGAAGATGGACACTATTTTTATGTCTATGTAATAATGAAGTAAAATGTGAAATTGAAATTCTGGAAAGAGTTGGATTTCACATCATTTTCATACAAAGAGAAAAATGCTTAGGCTAAACATGGTGGTGCACGTCTTTACATGTAGCCCCTGTTACTTGAGTGTCAGAATCAAGGGAATCTCACATTTCAGATCCACGGTAGTGTGGGCAATACAGTGAAGACCGTATTTGAAAAATAAATAAGTAAATAAATAAAAAAGGAATCTATTGCTTGAAATTGAATTTTTCCAAATAAGCAAAAATATGACACTGGAAATTTCATAAAACATTGCAACTTCCACTAATAGAAGTAAAAATGACCACCTCTTTAATAGAATTGAAGTCCAAAAATAAACATAGCTCTAACTGTTTGACCTTATTATTCCTCTCAACACAAACATTGGTAAGGATACTCTTTCAAGAAAAGTGGTTAGCAGTGGGCCCGCCATGTGCAAAAGGGGTGATTTAAACCTTGAATTCATACCACGCCTGAGCAGCACATCAATGAAGGTATGGGCTGGATATAGCTTATTGGTAGGGTGCTTGCCTAGCACGCACAGGGCCTTGGTTAGATAACCAGTGTTTCAGGGAAATAAATGTTAAGAAGACAGGTTTCAACTTAGGAGAAAGAACCCAAAAAATTACAAGTGGACTTTTGTAAAAATAGTTTTAAATGCTTCTACATATATGCAAGATATATAAATACAATTTAAATAAGAAGTGTAATATTTTAATGTGTATTATGTAAAGCAGGTTTGATCTCATAGGAATATATGTGAGATGGAAAGAGACAGAAATTCATGCCACGAATTTATCTTGTATGTACCGAAGAGTTAAAATAAATTGAAACAGCTCTAAAACCACCGTATCCCAGGTTCACTCTCTTTTTCCTCCAGGATTTTATTCAGGGGAAAAATTCACCATCCATGGCTTGTCCAGAGCTTCTCTTTCCTTTTGTAAAATGTGAAAAACAATCTTTGAATGCAGAGCTGGAAAGTCTCTTGCTGCTTTTCATGAAGTCTCTGGGACATTCTCTTCTGTATTGGAGAATCTAAATAATAATTTCATACACATGCCTTTTGAGCAAAAACACCTAGAGAAATCATGGTGTATCCCCAATGATACATGGAGACCCATCCAATCCTGGGACTGGGTTGGCATTTCAAGGTGTGAGGAGCACCCTAGAGCAGCTTATGGTGTGGTCTCAAGTGGTGCCTGCTGGCACTGGGCATGGGTTTTGGAGATCCCCATCCTAGCATTGCTCTCAGTCTGCGCACTTCTCCATACTGATGCAGAGCAGGAAAACCAGCACATTTCCTCTTCCTGCATCCTCTCCTATCCTCTGATTTGTACACAAGGCATGGAAGCAAAAGAGCCTCTTGCCTGTCTATCAGATGTACAAATTCTTCCGTGAGTCTTAGAAAGAGTCTCACCATGGTGAATGTCGCAGTGTGTGCTGCTGTTAGAGTTGTCTGACTCCTACAGCCACTGACCTGCAATTTGAAGGAATTCTGAGGGCAATTTAACTAGGCAATTGTGGAAGCTATGGTATTTTGTAATATTGTTAGAAAGGGAATGTCCACGAGAAATATGCAGGCTAGTTCCAAATTGCAGTACGCAACACGGCCCATGTATTCTGTACCTGGATGGTGAGTTCCACAGTTGAACATATTGAAATCTGGAAGGAGGTATGCCTGCTTTTAGAAGATGGAGTCCCAAATTAGAT